TAAATGCAGCATCCCCCCATTCCCCCCCTAATTCTTACCTAATCCAGCGATGTGCACAGGTGTAAGGGACCGCCCGACAGCACCTCTATCAGTCCCCTGATAGAGCCTCTCCAGCGTGCGGAGTCTAAGTTCCGGAGCACTTGTTCACCAGGGTCCCTGATGGTGGGGATGGACTTGGAGCTCCGGGACCAGGTCGCAGCTACCGGATATCTCTATCAGTGGTAGAGGAGTCTGCCGGAGGCTCCCACAGGGTGAGAGTCTGATGTGAGGGGACCCGGGGATCATTGAGGGATGGATGGATGAATGAGCAAGGGCAGAGTCAAACAAGCCGTGTCAGTAGCCGGGGGGTCGGTGCGGTACAAAACAGTAGGCAAAGAATGGTCGGGTCACACGCAGGGTCAATAACAGGAGATCAAATCTAAAGGGGAACATCCAGGAGCAGAGTCAGGCAAGCCAAGGGGTCAGGACAGGAGAAGGCAGCAAGGTCAGATAATCCGGATCAAAGTACTCACAACACAGGTAACAGGATATGCAGAAAGACCATTCAGCAACAAGTGTCTGTGCAGGGCTGGTTTAAGTAGCCCGCCCTGCACCTGACAGGCGCAGCCTAGGTACTAGTGCAAGCCCAGTACTGTCATAGACGAAGGGTGCACCTGGGTCCTAGTGCCCTGCTGCCTGCATGTCTTGACAGACACCTACGCATGTGTAGACCCATGCGTCGCGATGGTCCCTGACAACAGGAGTCTCGGCTATCCTGGAACTCCCTCTTCTCATTGGCTGAGACAGAAGCTGGAGCCATTGGCTCCCACTGCTGTCAATCACAGGCAGTGAGCCAAAGAGAAGGGGCAGGGTGGGGCTGAGTTGCGGCTGCATGTGTGAATGGATACGCAGAACAGTGGGTGCCCCATAGCCAGCTGCTTGCTGCGGTGGCACCCGACAGGAGGGAGGGGCCAGGGGCACCAGCGGGGGACCCGAGAAGAGGAGGATCCGGTTGCTCTGTGTAAAGACACTGCATACAGCTGGTAAGTATAGAAATGTTTGTTATTTATTTATTTATTCCATAAAAAATAGTCCTTTAGAATCGCTTGAATGGAACTGCCGTGAGTCTGCTAAAGGGCAACATGTTTCTCCATGTCGGGAAAGCACAGATTTTTCCCACGTTCCCGCCATGGAAAGGCCTGAACCTAGGTTAAACGGACAATAATAGACTGGTTGACATTAGAATGTGGGAAAGACACATTTTGCTGCCTTTGCGAGATGCGCACGTTTAATAATTAAAGATGATCGGCACCCCAAACGCATCTCACAAAAGCAACGAGTTTGTGGTCAGAGCTTGTACCACTTTTTGCGCATTCCTGTGCATTTTGCAGTCCATTGAAATGAATGGGCTGTCAAAACCGGCCGTTACTGACCCTTACCGACTCTCCGAATGCCCTCAACCATTCCACAGACCCATCAGGTTCCCCGTGAACAGGTCTCCTCAATATGGACGTCAGTGATGATGAAAACTTGGATCTCATGAAGTCTCCAGTCCTCGTATGTTCCAGGAACGCCGTCACCGTTGTCTCTCCGGATCGGATGTTATTTATTTTGGAGACGTCTCCTCTTCACATTATGTAGATCTAGTCACAGCGCGCTCGTTTAATTATTCTGACAAGGACCCGCTTCCTCCAGACACCTGTTAGGGTGACAGAATCACTTCTGCTGATTTATGCAGCTCACAAGACAGCGAATATACGTCCGGCTTAGCAAGTAAAATGCAGCCTTCACTCTGCCAGAATACGAACCCTGCAATGTTGTCTTTCGGTGGGACAATGAATGGTCAGGTATGACCTTGCCAGGTGCAGGTGGCATGCCGTTGTAAGCTAAACCCCAGCCTTCCCTTCAGTCTTTCGGTGGTGGCCAATGAATGGTCAGGTATGACCTTGGTCAGGTGGCATGCCGTTGTAAGCTAAACCCCAGCCTTCCCTTCACTTTCGGTGGTGGCCAATGAAGGTCAGGTATGACCTTGGCAGGTGCAGGTGGCATGCCACTGTAAGCTAAACCTCAGCCTTCCCTTCAGTCTTTCGGTGGTGGCCAATGAATGGTCAGGTATGACCTTGGCAGGTGTAGGTGGCATGCCGCTTTCAGCTAAACCCCAGCCTTTCCTTCAGTCTTTCGGTGGTGGCCAATGAATGGTCAGGTATGACCTTGGCAGGTGCAGGTGGCATGCCGCTTTCAGCTAAACCCCAGCCTTTCCTTCAGTCTTTGGTTGGTGGATAATGAATGGTCAGCTATGACCTTGGCAGGTGCAGGTGGCATGCCGCTTTATGCTAAACCCCAGCCTTCCCTTCAGTCTTTCGGTGGTGGCCAATGAATGGTCAGCTATGACTTTGGCAGGTGCAGGTGGCATGCTGCTTTAAGCTAAACCCCAGCCTTCCCTTCAGTCTTTCGGTGGTGGACAATGAATGGTCAGGTAGGACCTTTGGCAGGTGCAGGTGGCATGCAGCTGTAAGCTAAACCCCAGCCTTTGCTTCAGTCTTTCGGTGGTGGACAATGAATGGTCAGGTATGACCTTGGCAGGTGCAGGTGGCATGCCGCTTTAAGCTAAACCCCAGCCTTCCCTTCAGTCTTTCAGTGGTGGCCAATGAATGGTCAGGTAGGACCTTGGCAGGTGCAGGTGGCATGCCGCTTTCAGCTAAACCCCAGCCTTCCCTTCAGTCTTTTGGTGGTGGCCAATGAATGGTCAGCTATGACCTTGGCAGGTGCAGGTGCAGGTGGCATGCCGCTGTAAGCTAAACCCCAGCCTTTCCTTCAGTCTTTTGGTGGTGGACAATGAATGGTCAGGTATGACCTTGGCAGGTGCAGGTGGCATGTCGCTTTAAGCTAAACCCCAGCCTTCCCTTTGGTCTTGCCCAGGTGTACCGGCTCCTCTCCTGGACTGAAAGGGCTTCCTCTGATTTCACTGCACACTATGGGCTTCTCACGTGCATTAGAAGCTGCAGCAAGTCAGATAGAGCCCATCTCATCTCCTTGATGGAGGATGTCCATAATCATCTAGCTCTGGCCCGCCTCTTTCATTCATTCAATTAAGGTTCTTTAAAACATGGAGACTCAGCACCTCATGTGGGTGTTCTCTTCCCAAGAGCCAGCCCGCTGCTTACATCAGGGCCAAAGACTTTTGATGGTTTCAGGATGTTCAGCACCTCTTACCAACCATGATCTGCCTGCATATCATGAAGACGTACAAAGACCCAGTGATGACATTGCTATCTGACATAAGGTGTGCAATAAAAACAGAAGGGTTTTACTACAACATTTCATTAGAATGTTGATGAGGGGGAAGAGAGGAAACATCCATAGATGCAGAGTGTCCCACATTTGCTGGGACAATCCCACATCTTGAACGTCAGTCCCAGTGATGCTGTGTCCTGGGCAATGTCCCGGGGTCACAGTGTCACTCTTATTGTGCATAACCTAATAAGACATTCATTATTTTGATTGGTCGCCATCAGTGGGTGGTCCTGCATAATAGAGGTAGGGTTTAGGAAGCAAACTCCAGTAAGATGGTTTCTGAGAGAACAAAAATCTGGTCTTTGGGTGGGCCTGACTAGGGAGTCTGACAGGGACCACCTGGTCATTGATTGGGCCTGACGGTGGGCATGGTCTTGGCACAACCATCCACTCACTTGGGTGGCCTGATGAGGAATGGGAGCATAATTAGAGTTGAGGTTTAGGTGGGCTACCACAGTAAGTGGACAGGGTCTGAGAGGGGCCACCTGGTCATCGGGTGGACCTGACTATGAGCATGGTCTTTACAGAACTGTCCTCTTACTTGGGTGGCCTCAGGTGAACTGGAAGCATAATTAGAGTTAGGTCTTAGGTTGGCTGCTCCAGTAAGTAAGTGGAAGAAATCTGAGAGGGATAACCTGGTTTTTGGGTGAGCCTGACTATGGTCATGGTCTTGGTAGAACTGCCCAGTCACTTTGGTGGCCTGAGGTGGGCGGGAGCATGATTAGAGTTAGGGTTTAAGTGGATGGAGTCTGAGAGCGAATACCTGGTCATTGGGTTGCCCTGACTATGGGCATGGTCTTTACGGAACTGTCCACTCACTTGAATGGCCTGAGGTGAGAGCAACTGTGAGCAAAGTTAAAGCTCAACTCTAGGAACTCCTTGCAGTGGGGCTGGGCCTACACTGCTCCTTTATGTCTAGGGGTCATTGAAGTGTAGATCTACTTATGTGCTTGATCCTCAACTTCTCTTTGCTGCTAGACCTGTCTCTGCACTGCCTTCTCCCCTGTGATCCAGCAGTCCAAGGTCCTGACGTAATGAAGACCGAATGAGGGGTATATAGCCCTGCATGTTAGGATGCTGAGGGACAGCCCTCCAATGGAGCACGGAAGAGCTCTGTCTGTGGGGGGAAAGGAGAATTGGGTAAGTAAAAGTCCTTTTCCTCTTCTTATACCTAAATGAGTAGTTCACCTTTGCAGGGCGAGTACAGCAAATTTCCTGGAGTTGGGCTCTAGCTTTGTCCAAGGATCCAGGAAACTTTGGTAAGTATGAGTTTCCACATTACAGGTCCTCTTTAGACCCGTTTACACCTCAGTGATGCTACATCATCACATTTATAGTGTGTTTTTTTTCATAATGGCAATACAAACGCGTTGGCATTGTAGCCCTTTTTTTTCGTATTTTGCAGAAACGAGGGCAGAAATGAGTTGGCTCAGTGCTAAAATTGGGTACATGGGCTTCTTGAGGGCGTCTGCTATTCCTAGGTGTGAATGGGACCTCAATTGCTACACAACTGGTCCCCTTTAAAGTTTTACCCAGGACCCCGCATTCACTATATCCAGTTTCCCCGGACCCTGCATTCACTATATCCACTCTCCCCGGACCCCGCATTCACTATATCCGCTCTCCCCAGACTCTGCATTCCCTATATCCGCTCTCCCCGGACCCTGCATTCACTATATCTGGTCACCCCAGACCCTGCATTCACTATATCCGCTCTCCCCGGACCCCGCATTCACTATATCCAGGGCTCCCCGGACCCTGCATTCACTATATCTGGTCACCCCAGACCCTGCATTCACTATATCCGTTCTCCCCGGACCCTGCATTCACTATATCGGCTCTCCCCGGACCCTGCATTCACTATATCTGCTCTCCCCAGACCCCGCATTCACTATATCTGCTCTCCCTGGACCCTGCATTCACTATATCTGCTCTCCCCGGACCCCGCATTCACTATATTCGCTCTCCCCGGACCCTGCATTCACTATATCCGCTCTCTCCCCGGACCCTGCATTCACTATATTCGCTCTCCCCGGACCCTGCATTCACTATATCCGCTCTCCCCAGGCCCTGCATTCACTATATCCGCTCTCCCCGGACCCCGCATTCACTATATCTGGTCTCCCCGGACCCTGCATTCACTATATCCGCTCTCCCTGGACCCCGCATTCACTATATCTGCTCTCCCCGGACCCTGCATTCACTATATCCGCTCTCCCCGGACCCCGCATTCACTATATCTGCTCTCCCGGACCCTGCATTCACTATATTCGCTCTCCCCGGACCCTGCATTCACTATATCCGCTCTCCCTGGACCCTGCATTCACTATATCCGTTCTCCCCGGACCCCGCATTCACAATATCTGCTCTCCCCGGACCCTGCATTCACTATATCCGCTCTCCCTGGACCCCGCATTCACTATATCTGCTCTCCCCGGACCCTGCATTCACTATATCCGCTCTCCCCGGACCCCGCATTCACTATATCTGCTCTCCCCGGACCCTGCATTCACTATATTTGCTCTCCCCGGACCCCGCATTCACTATATCTGGTCTCCCCGGACCCTGCATTCACTATATCCGTTCTCTCCGGACCCCGCATTCACTATATCCGCTCTCCCCGGACCCTGCATTCACTATATCCGCTCTCCCCGGACCCCGCATTCACTATATCTGGTCTCCCACAGTACACAGAACATGGAAAAGCAATTTTTTTAGTAAATATAAACTGCTAAATACCATTTCTCATCAGCAGTATATAGCAGTCTTGTGACTTCTATCAGTATCCATCAGAGCACTGGTTAAAGCTTGTAGGAGTATTCTTTCTCCCCTGATTTCCCTATGAGGCTGCAGGACCCCTGTCCCTCTTTCCGGACTGTGCTGATCACATGCATTCTCCCCCCAAAAAAAAACACTCTCTAGCAATACACACCAAACTGAGCATGTGCAGAGTGACTCCTAAAGCTCTGTACTATCAGCAGATGGATTGGGGACAGCAGAAGGGGAGGATCAGAGAAGTCAGGATCAAACAGCCTTTATAAACAATGCGGAGGATTAACCCCTTAGGTTTAACAATGAGCATAACAACAGACTGATTTCACTGTTGGGGGTTTAGAAACACTTTAAATCTCAATGTTAGATTTGTGATGTGCATTTTTTCGGTATCTCACCAACAGCCATGGAGAAATGCAGGGAGAGGCTCACCCCCGCCGGACATTAATGAATCAAATGAGGAACTCTGGATGGTCATCAAATGTCTTTATTCGGTCACATAACGCCAAAAAAATGAAAAAATGAGAATTAAAAAAAAAAAAAAAAACGGGTTACAGTGCCGTATTTTGAATCCTTTTTAATCATTTTTTTAATACATTTTTAATCAGTCTATAATCAGTTTTTAATCCCCCTTTAAACAATTCTCTCATTTTCATATTGTCTGAATTTCATTACAATCCTTTTTTTCTAATTGCTTTTTCCATCGTCCATTGTGCAAAGTTAAAAAAAAATAAAATTGGTTGAAACTGAATAATAATAAAAAAAAAGACACCTGATTTCCGCTGACTGGAGATGGATGCGGCGGGATTAAAGGAGCAGAGTGTCGCCATTTTATTGCTGGGATCCAGGCAAATGCCGGCCATAGACGGGCGGAAAAACGGCCGATTTTCGCACTATTAGTGGGTTAATTGGTCAGCCATTTTTTGTGCTTTTTGCACATTTCTTTTCGGGCATGTTGGAAAATTTGCGGCCAATTTTGACGATCGGACGATTTTCCTGGCAATGATGGGCAAATCGGCTGACCGTTTTATCGATAAAAAATCTGTGCATGAGCCGTGACCTGCAAGAAGGGGAAAAAAAAGAAGAAAAAGAAAAATTAGAAGAAAGAAAAAGAAGAAGAAAAATAATAAGAAGAAAATAAGAAGGGAAGAAAAAGAAAAATTTGAAGAAGAAGAAGAATTCCAGTCCGCTATTATATTTTATATGAAAAAGTCTTGCGGTTGCAACAATGTATCCATTTGTATCCAAATAAAAACATCTGTATCCGAAATGGATACAAATGGATACATTGTTGCAACCGCAAGACTTTTTCATATAAAATATAATAGCCGACTGGAATTCTTCTTCTTCTTCTTCCTCCTCTTCTTCTTTTTCTTCTTATTTTGCTTCTTATTTTTCTTCTTTCTTCTAATTTTTCTTCTTCTTTTTCTTCTTCAAATTTTTCTTTTTCTTCTTCTTATTTTGCTTCCTCTTCTTCTTCTTATTTTTCTTCTTCTTTTTTATTATTATTATTTTTATTATTTATTATTATTATTATTATTATTTTTCTTATTATTATTATTATTTTCTTCTTCTACTTCTTTTTCTCTTCTTCTTCTTCTTATTATTATTATTATTATTATTTTTCTTATTATTATTATTATTTTTCTTCTTCTCCTTCTTCTTCTCTTCTTCTTCTTTTCTTATTATTATTATTATTTTTTTCTTATTATTATTATTATTATTATTATTTTTTTCTTCTTCTTCTTCTTTTTCTTCTTTTTCTTCTTCTTATTATTTTTTTCTTATTTCTTATTATTATTTTTTCTTCTTCTATTTTTTTTTCTTCTTCTTCTTCTTATTTTATTATTATTTATTTTCTTCTTTTTTTTTTTTTTATTCTTTTTTTTTCTTTCTTCTTTTTTCTTCTTTTTCTTCTTCTACTTCTTTTTCTCTTTTATTCTTATTATTTTCTCTTATTATTATTATTTTCTTCTTCTTCTTCTTATTTTTTCTTCTTATTATTATTATTCTTCTTCTTCTTCTTTTTTCTTCTTCTTCTTCTTCTTTTCTTCTTAATATTGTTATTTTTTCTTCTTCTTATTATTTTTGTTTCTTCTTCTTTTTCTTTTGTTCTACTTCCTCTTATGTATTGCTCCCCTGTCTCTGAAAGGGACAGAAGTAATTATGGGGTTAAATGCCGACTATAGACAGGCCGAAAATCTGACGATTTTTTTTACCGATGGGGGTAACCTTGGCAAATCGAACAACCAAATTTTCATTGTTTTTGACCTGTCTATGGCCTGATAAACACTAAATACAGATGAAAGGCATATATGGAGGGCTGATTTTTTTTAGGATTTGTACTTCTGTCCATCCAGCTCTGAGATAGACACAGCTCTGCTACACAGCACAGTCCTGTCTGTCAGGGAAGTGGCCCTCATTTTCTCTGCTGCTGTTAGGTGACCTTTATGGGTCTTGTCCCTCCCCCAGTCTGTGATTGGACAGGAGAAGGTTCAGCACACTGACAAGTTCATCTCTCTGCTCTCTTCTGCTATCAGCATACTCCTTGCAGTGCATCATAAATGATTGGCTCCTTGAACTGTTTTCCTCCTTTCCCAGTCTGAGCTCTGCACTAGAGGACATTACAAGAGGCTGATTCATTCATTCATTTACATCTGCCTAGAATTCAGCCTCCCCCTGCCCCCTCCCCCCGATCTCTAGCTTCCCTTACAAATCAGAGTCCTTCCCTTACATTAGGGTTCCCATTAGAGATTCCCCCTGTATCAAGGTCTTTGTTAGAGTCCCCCCTTGCATCAGGGTCCCCATCAGAGTCCCTCCTTATATCTAGGTCCCCATCAGAGTCCCTCCTGACATCAGGGTCCTCATTAGAGCCCCTTCTGACATCAGGGTCCCCATCAGATTCCCTCCATACATCAGATCCCTCATCAGAGTGCCCCTATATCAGGGACTCCATCAGAGTCCCTCCTTACAGGGTCCCCATCAGAGTCCCTCCATACATCGGACCCCCCATCAGAGTACCCAGTACATTAGGGTCCCCATTAGAGCGCCTCCATACATCAGCCCTACCATCAGAGTGCCTAGTACATCAGGGTCACCATCACAGTCCTTCCTTACATCAGGGTCCCAATTAGAGCCCCTCCATACATCAGGGTCATCATCAGAGTCCCTTCATAAATTAGAGTTTCCATCAGAGCCTCCACCCCCCTTTACATGAGGGTCCCCATCAGAGCACTCCCCTTTAAATCAGAGTTCCCTTACCATCAGCATCTCCATCAGAATTCCCCCATACATCAGAATCCTAATCTACAGTAAATCCCTCATGGTTCTTATCAGAGACCCCCTATACATCAGGGTCCCCATCAGAGTCCCTCCATATATCATGGTCCCCATCAGACTACCCCCTTACATCAGGGTCCCCATCATAGACCCCCTATACATCAGGGTCCCCATCAGAGTCCCTCCATATATCATGGTCCCCATCAGACTACCCCCTTACATCAGGGTCCCCATCATAGACCCTCCATATATCAGGGTCCCCATCAGAGTCCCTCCATATAGCAGGGTCCCTATAAGAGTCCCTTTAAAGACCAGGAACCCCATCAGCATCCCTCTATACTTAACGGTCCCCTTTAGAGCCCCCAGCACATCAGGGCCTTATCAGAGTCCCCCCTTATATGTATCAGGGTCCTCATCAGAATTCCTCCTTACATCAGGGTTTCCATCAAAGCCTCCCTGCATCAGAATCCCAGTTAGAGTCCTCCCCTTACATCAGGATCCCCATCAGAGTCTCTCCATATATCAGGGTCCCCCTTAGATCAGGGTCCCCATCATAGACCCTCCATATATGAGGGTCCCTATCAGAGTCCCTCTGTATCAGGGTCCCCAGCAGAGTCCCTTTATAGATCAGGATCCCCATCAGTATCCCTCTATACTTCAGGGTCCCCTTCAAAGCCCCCCACACATCAGGGTCTTATCAGAGTATCCCCTTGCATCAGGGCAGAGGCGTCCCCAGGGTTGGTGTCACCCGGTGCGGTAACACTTGGTGACACCCCCCCTCCGACGATCCCCGCAGAATGGATCAGATCTGCAGATTGAGCATAATGGATTGGACTCCGATCCATTATGCTCAATCCACAGATCTGATCCATCCTGCGGGGATCGTCGGCTTTCTTTACAACTTACCTTTTCTTGGAGCGGGTCCGGTGTCACCCCCTATAGGTTGCATGCCGATGATCCCCGCAGGATGGATCGGATCTGTGGATTGAGCATAATGGATTGGAGTCCAATCCATTCTGCTCAATCTGCAGATCTGATCCATCCTGCGGGGATCGGCGGCTTGCTTTACAACTTACCTTTTTGTGGAGTGGGTCCAGTGTCACCACCCATGCGGTCGGTGTCACCCGGTGCAGACCGCACCCCCCCCCACACCTACCTCGGGACGCCACTGCATCAGGGTCCCCATCAAAGCCACCCATTCCCTTACATGTATCAAGGTCCTCATCAGAATTCCCCCTTACATCAAGGTTTCAATCAAAGCCCCCCTGCATCAGAACCCCAGTAAGAGTCCCCACCCCCATCCTTATATCAGGTTCCCCATCAGAAGTGGAGACCAGCTGATTGGAATCCTCAGTCCAGGGGCGGACTGACCATTTGGAAACTCGGGCACTGCCCGAGGGCCCGGGGTCAGTAGGGGGCCCCATGAGATGCCCCTGGTACCTTTTTCATAGGCTTTTTTGAGTTTTGGCAAGGACACAGGGGCCCCATGATCTCCTATTGCCCAGGGGCCCCATGAGTTGTCAATCCACCCCTGCCTCAGTCCATGAGAATCAGGTGCGGACTGACAATTTGGGAACTCGGGCACTGCCCAAGTGCCCAG